ACACCCACACCCACACCCACACCCACACCCACACCCACCGCATCCACTACACCCACACCCACACGCACACCTACACCCACACCCACACCCACACCCACACCTACACCTACACCTACACCCACACCCACACCCACACCTACACCTACACCCACACCCACACCCACACCCTATACAATGGAAAACTTTTAAGAATATAATCTATCTATGATTAACTAATTTGAATGCAAAAAAAATACATGTAATAAAAAGTCACACTATATCTTGTGCTTGACTAATAGTTGTTTGAATAACGAACGAAAATTGTTTAAAGTTCTCCTTTGAAAATTATTTATGAAGAAGAATGTACTTAGGGTTATCCAAAAGTAGTGAGCCAGGTACTTTTTTTTCTTATAGAAAGCTTTCAAAAATTTTCTTTTTTTATGAACAGATAGAGCGTCTTTCGCTCTATTTTTCTATGCTATTTGATCACTATTCAACTAATATTATAATAATAAAATTTCGATAAGAACTGTTTTTGTTGTAAATTAGCTGGTAGCATTAGATCATAATGGATGGGGCATTTTGCATTTCATTTTATTATCACTTAATACGTTGTATTTAAAAAACAAAACATACCACAAGATGCAGCGTGAAAAGCTCTACAATTTATAAAGGGTCATTTATTTTATAGTTGCACTTTTTATTTTGAGAATGGACAAATCTCTGAGCGACCAAATTTCGACGTTGCGAAAATGAGATGTTTTTTGGTAAAAGACGAATTAGTTTTTTCTTATCTCATCTTTTATTACCTGATATGCGTTATTAGAAAAAACAAAATATACTACAAGACGCAGCGTGAAAAGCTCTACAATTTACAAAGAACAATTATAAAAAAATGATATAGAAAAAAAACAAATTCGTCTTTTACCAAAAAACATCTCATTTTCGCAACGTCGAAATTTGGTCGCTCAGAGATTTGTCCATTTTTAAAATAAAAAGTGCAACTATAAAATAAATGACCCTTTATAAATTGTAGAGCTTTTCACGCTGCATCTTGTGGTATATTTTGTTTTTTTAATACAACGTATTAAGTGATAATAAAATGAAATGCAAAAGTACCCCATTTTTAAGCCACACCTATTATATGATCTAAATGCTACCAGCTAATTTACAACAAAAACAGTTCTTATCGAAATTTTATTATTGTAATATTAATTGAATACTGATCAAATAGCATAGAAAAATAGAGCGAAAGACGCTCTATCTGTTCATAAAACAAGAAAATTTTTGAAAGCTTTCTATAAGAAAAAAAAGTACCTGGCTCACTACTTTTGGATAACCCTAAGTATGTTTATTTGCATTAATTAAATTCGATAGTGACGCCAACATATTTAGGCATCACAGTCAGTCTTATTAAATGACCGCCTGCATTCACAACAGGACCACCATCACCGAATGTAACATGTTGTATTAGTCGAGCTATGATCACTTTCAGCTCAAATCGACCCAGATCTTGTCCAATACATTGACGATGACCACCGCCAAATGGAATCAATGCATACGGATGATGGTTCTTGTCTTCGCCTAGAAATCTTTCTGGATAAAAAAGATCAGGAGAAACTGACCAATATCGAGAATCTCGTGCTAGTGTGTGAATTGGAATAATAATTTGATCTCCTTTGAATAACTGAGCACCACTCTTCGGTAGACGATCATCGACGGTTAATGTACGAAGTACAACATCACCAGGCGGAGAAAAGCGAAGTACTTCTTTGATAACACAATCCAAATAGACGAATGAATCGAGACGATCCATTGATAAAACCTGACTAACAAGACCATTCGTCACTTCGGCTTTGAGTTTTTGTTGGACTCGTGGATGTTTGCTCAATAGATGAACAGACCATGCCAAGGCGGTGGATGTCGTTTCAAATCCAGCGATTAAAAATGCAACCATCTCATGTAATACCTCAGTTCGTGAGAGACCTGTCAAAAAACAAATATTTTGTTGAACAACGAAATTGAAAACGATTGTGAACATGATGAGACTCATGTTTGGCAAAAAAATTTTCTTTAAAATCAACTTCAGAAGTTTGAAACGGAATATTCAGTTGTTATTCAACCATCTGACAATTTTCTTCTAATTTTGTCTGATCAGATACCGTTCACGAACTATAATCACCTATCGTCTATCTTCTCTGTATAGTAATGATAGTTTATTTAGATATTTATTGAAATGAACGGCTATAGTTTTCATAAATAATCTTACCTTTTTTCTCTTCTTCATGTTTACTTTCTTCGGCTTTTTCATCTGTTTGTAACGAATCGACAAGTGAAGCAATCAGTGAAGTTTTCTTTCGATGTTCTCTCGCTTCGGAAGGTTCAGCCAATTCTTGATCAATCATTCGGTAGAGATATTGTTCGATAGTGGTACGAGCTCGTCTGTACCGAGGACTCAGTTTCAAATAAGCATTTAATACGATATTTGGTGAATAGGTAGCTATTTCGACTGCATTCAAAACCGTTCTTAACGCCTCTGTAAGCTCATTATTATTCGTTCCTCTTAGTGTCTGGAAATCGTAGTCGAAAGCAATAAATCCAAAGATGTCTAGCAGAAGATTTTGACATTGTTGAACAATGTCACAATGTACATGTTGATTAGGACTTGCACGCCAATTGTTCAAAAGTTTGTCAGTACAGTCGACAATCAGATCCAAATTTGAAATGACTTTAGCACGACGAAATAGTGGCATAGTAAGTGCACCATGTCGCTTGAATTTGGCACCTTTAGATTAACATATAAAAGATGTTTCTACTCAAATGAATAGTGAAACTAACCTTTGAGAGAAATGAGACTGTCAGGGAAGAGAAGACCAAATTGTTCGACGAACCAATCACCTTGGTCGTAAATATTTCGATGGGCAAAAATGTACTGGACATCATCGATGTCACTTACAACGATAAAACGCAAAAATCCAAGCCAAATTTGAAATATATCACCGAAGCGATCTTTGAATGACAGATAAACTTGAGGTAATGAAGCACTACGTGTCAGTATACCGGCTTGAATTAAATTTCCAAAAAAGAACTAAGGCGGTAGACCTGGCAGTGGCCCACGAAGAGTAAAATATTTTAATTTTAAATATAAAACTACTAAGCCACTAAGAGCAATAATCAGTAGAAGAAACATTGTATGTGCATGTGATAGTATTGTGTCAATATTGACTTATATCATATGAAAGAAAAAGCACGCATACACAACACATAGGTTTTTTAAACATTATAATTGTTATCAGCCTCTTCTTAACATCTGACACACTCACTTGAAGTCAACCAGAAGATGTCAGCGATTTTTATTTTAATTCTAGATAAAAATGGTGTTTTTTTTCGTCTATCAATATACACAAATATCAATGAGATAACGTTCTTAATAGCTAGAGAGAAGCAACGTCGAAAGCATGAGACGTGCGTCATTCCTTCTCAAACGCTCGTATGGTAGACAGAAAAAAAATTCTTTGTCTTCTTTTCCTCTCACTGCCATTTTTCCTTTCCCCCTCGTCCAGTCGTCATATAAATGGGTAAGAAAGGAAGGATAAAAATGTATTGATATCTAACATGAAGGAATATGCGTAAATGTTCGATAGCAACATGTGTCTACACATTTGCCTTTGTATAAGTTGTATAGGTATTAGTATTTCGTCTTGCTGAGAATGATGTCATACATAATTTCAAGAGCACAGTCAATGATGTTCCTAATAAAAACAGCTTTTTCAGAGGTGTTAATAGTTTCTCTTTTTAGTAAAAAATTCTTATATGAATATATAATCTTTTTACATTTCTGAGTGCAAAAATGTCTTCTGCACCGAATGGTGCAAAAATCACTAATTATCTCGAAAATTAATCGAGTAAGTAATTTGCAATTAATTGAGGGTGTGGTGTGGGTGTAGCATTACGCAAAGCGAAGAATTATCACCATACCTATACCTGACACATTCACACCCATAAACTTGCAGCCGCACCCACACCCAAACTCGCACTCTTTGTTTTTCGTGCAGAAAGTTTTAGTAGCAGCTTTGTCTCTATGCAAAAATTGTTCTCGGTGCTCGAGTTCTAGCACCAGAACTTTATATATTTATAGATGCGACTCTTTTCAAGCAGTTGAGAGAATAGTTTTGCTTTAATTTTATTTGGAATATCGAATAATGTTCAGATTAATTTCTACTTTGAAATGCTAAATAACGCAGAAAATCATTCAATAATAAAAAACAAGTGTTAATTACAAGGATAGTTGGATTACAAAGCTTTATTTGTCGTTCGACACGATAGCTTGCCAATCTAATGCGGATCTCTCGTCTATTTATAACAGATGATAATTATCTATATTCGGTACGTGTAAATTAATAAGATAATGTTATACACGTAAACTAACTGTTGTCAAAGCTAGTTTCTCATCTACACCTAGTCTTCGATTTTGCAAATATTCACCAAAAAACAGCATGTGAATCAGCAGGATTTAGTTCAGAAACAATGGAACTAGGACGAGCAATGGCTATAGTTAATCGATGCATGTCTTGATCAATAATAAGCACCGGTATAGGGCTATTGTAATTTGTTATATTAAATGTATTGACGAAATTATCGAAAGTACGTTCTTGAGATTTCGTTTCGTTGAATATTGGTACAGCGAAGACGATAGTACGAATGTTTTTATATAATGACCCATCTTCTTGAAGTACTCTTCGAATGGGTTCTGCTGACAGTGCTCGCACTTTTACGTCAACTCCAATCTCACTACCAGCAAAAACTCCAAGTTCAATTCCTATTTCAACAAGAATTTGAACATTTTTCTCATCACATGCACGTAATTGTAGTCTAGCCATACGCATTAAACTGTCTCGAACATGTTCTTCATGAAGCTTGTCGTGAGGCCGAGTAGCTCTTCGATAAAAATCTCTTGCATTATACAGTGATGGTAAGCCTGTGTCTCGCTTCATATAGAAAACTTCTTTCCAATTAAATACGTAGTAAAGAATATCGCTCATATCATGTCTTCGACCAGCAAAATCGATATCCATCACAGAAACGAGTTTTATTCGATTAGGCCAGTCTTCATTCAATTTACAAGATATAATTTTAGCATCAAATTCCATCAATCCTTTCGCGTCGATTCGGTTTTCATAGAAAATAACATGTGACTCACAATAAATGGCCGCACTTCGCATTGCGTGTGGGTGTGGGTGTGGATTAGTGAAGAAACACCCACATCCACATACCCTTATTAATACCTATTGCCTTTGCACAACAAAATATGTTCTTTCTTCCAAAGATTATGCAAACGATTTCATTGATTTAAGAAAATGTAATTTTTCGGAATTACGTGCTATTGATTCTCAAACATTACCAACACAAACATTTATTCAAGCTTGTAAAGATTATGTTAACAGCGGACTTAATCCAGTAGTGAAAGGGTGTGGGTGTGGGTGTCTTTCTATACACCCACACCCACACCCACACCCTGTATCTAAGTGTGAATGTCATTTAACATTCTGTATGTATGATAGACAGATGAAAGTCACTAAAAGAAAACATAACTACTGCAAATATGTTATATGTTCGCCACTTTTTAACTGAATCTCATAAATTATTTATCTGGCAGGGAAATTTAGCAAGTTTCATTTTTGAAAACGTTTCTCATATATAGTTTAAAAATGCCACCCTCACATCGATATAAGTTTTCCAGTATTCTCATAGGGTGTGGGTGTCGGTGTGGGTGTGGGTATGTGGATGTCGGGTCGATGTTGGTGAGGATGAAGACATGATCAACACCCACACCCACCAACACCCATGCCAACACCCCACACCCGCTCACATCTCACACACACCCTCACTGCCAATTCGATAAAGGCGGCTTTTTCTTGGACAGAAGGAGTCAACAATCAACGAAAAAAATATGTATTATAAATCTCATATCTAAAATATGTTGTTGGCTTCCTTTTGACAAACAAATAATAAAATATATTTTATTATACAATGAGAGAGAGAATTTAATGAGCCTTTTTTCTGAAAAAATAAAATAACTATATTGAAAAGATGCCATACAATTACCACTCTTGATTGAAATAGGCGTTATTCGAATGTGAAAGAAAAAATCTTGCCGTCGATGCCAACATTACTTTAATCAATCGCAGCGAAACTGAGTATGAGTGAACAACGTTCTCATTATCTGCAAATGTCTATATGGACCACACCGGAAGATGAGAGTTTCCAAAGTGGAAATACAATCAGTGAATTCAATAGACGTAATGATTCTTCCAAGACTACGCATTCCACCAACGTCGATGATGAACGTTCAGAAAAAAAGAAAAGAAGACGGTGAGTAGAGCTGATAATCTATTTAATGAATTCCTATTTCAACGTTACAATTCTTGAGATACAGATCTTTGTGGGCAGCAATGAAGTGCTGTTATAGCATGCGAGGATTATTCACAGGAATTCTGCTTGGCGCTTTGGTAAGCGGTATAGCTTTGGCAGTCGTACTTACTCTTTTTTTAAGTTCAAACCAAAACAATATGGTAGCAACAGGTATGATAATCGCTAAATATTTTAATTTTGGCTGCTCGATTCACGATGTTAGTGATAGAAGCTTTTTGACCGAGCTCTATCGAATGAATATCTCAATAGTGAGTTTACAATGAAACACAAAGATGAAAATCATCTTTTTTTAATTGAAATGAAGGTAAACTAAATCATAGTTGATGCTAAGCTCATGTGAACTGTACACCTCATTGATAGGGGATCCCAAAGTTTCTTCAATAAACATGTTTCATTTCGGATTAAGAAAATAATCATTTCATTGGATTTTAAAATATGACAAGATGCTCTCCTTATCAGAGATCGAAACGGAGTTGAGTACTCGCAAATCGATTCTACTCGACTCAGACCGAGTCAAGTTCGATGTGAAGGACTCAATTTTTCCAATAATTCTGAATAATTTTTAAAGAGTGTGGCTGTTGGGTTGTGGGATTGTGGGTGTGAGAGTGCGGGTGTAAGTGTGAGGCTGTTTGAGTGTGGGCATTTGTGATATGTGCGGCTGTATAAGTGGATATGTATGTAAGAGTATGAGTGGAGGCGAGCGCGCAGTTGGCAGCGCTTGTCGGTTTGAGTGTGGGTATAGATGTATATGACATAAATGGAACCGATACCGACAACCGGCCGGTCTTGTCCGATCCGGTACGAGTTTTAGACCGACCGGTATACCGGTATTTTGCCCATCTACCGGTCTGTTACCGTTTTCACTTTTGTGCTTTTATGAACGAGATCCGTACAACGTTTTTTTTGCCTCCAATTCTTGTCGTGCACTTGATATATAATGACATTTTGTTGGAAATTCACGAAAATCAAGAACATCAAAAACAATTTTGAACACTCTCGGTATAAACAATTGTATAATTTTCTCCTCTTTTACACATGAAATAATATATAGAAACAGTAAGAGTGATCCAGTACTGGTGCGTGTTTTAGATCGGTCGGTTTACCGGTAGACCGGTATACCCGCCGGTCCTGTCTGGTCTGATGTGTTCAGACCTAATACCGGTACTAGTCGTCAAAAAACTGAACCGGTTTCATCTATGGTATATGATTCAACCAGTCATATCCACCGGCACACTCAGATGGAACCATACATCCATATTCTTCAGTCGAGTTGTTTTCTTCCATGATATTGTGCCTATATTTGTCAGTATCACAGCTCGCCGTAGGGTCTCTAAGATGAGTCTTGCTTTTTTTAGGCGGATCGTGAAGAAAATAACAAGCAACATTATCTTTTCTCGAAATAGTTCCATCATACTTCAGATTTCGATTCCTGTAGGGATTGCACCGAAAGCTTTTTTAAATGGTTGATTTTTTCCTCATAGGCATGTGATGACCACTTCGCAACTAGAATACTTTGTTTTAATTAGCTTATTTTATAATAAAACAATACAGACTCTCTTCGGATAATGGAAGAGCATTTTCGATTGATTAACAATAAAAATTTGTGAGGGTGTGGGTGTGCTCAAGAGTGAAATGAAACTACACCCACACCCACATCCTTTACTTATAGAACTTTTTCCGTAGATTCGACGACGTCAACTACGACTGCAACATCTTCAACAGCTACTACTTCGACATCTTCAACGACTACGACTACAACAGTGACATCGACCACTACTACAACATCAACATCAACTACGACTACAACGTCACAAACAACAACGACGACAACAAGTAAATTTTTTTAAACCTTTCATTCATACACAAAAAACAAAATAAAAATAGGGATCTTATTAACTTACGAGGGAACCCCCACCAACTGATTAAAAGCTTTAAGGCTCATATTTACGCCATACGTAGTGCTTAGTGAGACTAGATGAATCCTAAAAGGATTTCCTTGAATAGGCCTATTTGGCTGAGAAATGAATATTTCAAGTTTAGGATCGAAAATGTAGATAGATTGCCTGTTGTGTATGAATTACAATACTAACATGTGTCAAAAGAAAAATTTGTTTTTTGAAATACTTATAGATTGAAGTGTTTTACCCATTTCCCATAAATCATCCTGAGAGCGGTGTAGACATGCCTGAAACCCTTTTATTCGCTGGTGTAATAGATGGAAAGACTGAAACAAGCAATGAAATCGTTAGAACAACTGAAACACGAGTTGTTAGTTTTTTTGTACGTAATAGTTTAGTGAATGTGATAACTAACGAAAAAATGACCAAAACATAGGTCTTCTCGACACCGATTACATGTGATGAAAGGCGATTGATCGCATGACTCTTCGCTGCAATTGTCTCGATTAAAAGAAAAACAAACTTCCATGACGTTTTGAAATTGACCAGGGTTCTGTTTGGAGTAACCGCTAGTGTGCCACGCAAATTTTATCATAAGAACAAATATAGAGCATTAATACTTGGTGCTACTTTTATGTAGCAACTAGATCATCAAATAAACATCACAGCATAATTCTTTCAACAACTCCACGATTTATCAATGAGCGTTTCAACAAAAAATTCTGTCTTGATATATGTTAGTATTGTAATTCATACACAACAGGCAATCTATCTACATTTTCGATCCTAAACTTGAAATATTCATATCTTAGCCAAATAGGCCTATTCAAGGAAATCCTTTTAGGATTCATCTAGTCTCACTAAGCACTACTTATGGCGTAAATATGAGCCTTAAAACTTTTAATCAGTTGGCGGGGTTTCCTCGTTAGAATACGAAATACTAGTTAGAATATCTGTAGCCAATATTTCTTGTTCATGTCGACAATGAAATGAAATTTCTGAGACCATAATTCTCGAAAACTATTTGAAAAAATAACGATCACTTATCTTTCAGGTTTTTTCCATCTTCTTGAAAGAAAACATTTGAACAAACGCTGATCTGCTGAAGAGTTTCCATGAGAATGTTTCAGTAGGATTTAAAAATACCGCATATGTTTCATGTCATTTTTTCCAATGTTTGAAAATGAAACAACGCAAAAGTTAACCCGAAAGAAGGAAGACAAATTCTGTTCTTTGCGAGTTTTGCTTAAAGTGATTTCACACCACCACGATCTGATTCAGCAGAATCATTATGTGAAAATATGATCTCTTTTTGTAATTCATTATTTTTCGTATCCGTTTAGCTACAACCACGACAACAACAGCAACCACGACAACGACAACAACAACTACACAAAGTATGTTCATGTTTTCGATGTTTTAATAACTGAGGCACCGAGCGAGGATTTGATGAATCGAAAAGGATTGTTTTTTTCAGCCAAGATAACTGTTGGTGTCATATATCTCATGGTTTGAAACGACTTTTGAGGAGCTAATATCTGTTATGAATTGCGCTTTTCAAAGTTTGCTGTGAAATGTTTTCTAGAAAGACTTTTTAGTAGATTGGATCAGTTTTAATATTTTTATGTTTCTCAATTTACTGTGTATGATTTTCTTCCAACCATTTTCACTTGACGAGATAGAAAATAGAATTTTGTAGTCGTTAGTAAAATGTCTATGTTTATAAGTGGCAGTGTATACTTGGCCAGCGTTAGTCCTACTCGCACAATGCCGGGCAGTATTAGAAATTAATTCTTTTGAAACTTAGTTCATGAGGCAGA